TATATATATATATATATATATACATTCTTTAGGATAATTCATACATAAAGATTCAATGTGTAACATTTTGGTCAATCCAGTGGCCATTAGCTTCTTTTCACGTCTCCGTTGTGTTATACCAAACATTACCACTGAAAACATTTTGCAGGCATCTTTGATTTCCTTGTTTTTTTATTTGTATTTTTTGTGTGCTTTTCTACAAATGCCACTAGATGTCAATAGATGTTACACTTCTGATCTTTAATGTATGCAGACTAGCCCTATGATTTAAAGCATTGCTCAAGCCCCCATCCAGTTCCCACCCCCCCAAGCAACACATATACACAGTTCAGCAGTCAATTATTCTAGGCTCCACACACACACAGTTCAAGTTCAACTGTTTTAAACTAAAGTTTAAAACAGCCAAAAAATTGCCAAAGCAGCTCCCAGAGCGAACATACAGCTTGCTGAGCTAAATCCAGTTGACTCCAGAATGCCTTTTTAGTCAAATTATTTTTCAGTCCGCTCCACTTTTGAGTTGCTTGCCGTCTTAAAGTCTAGCTCTGGATTTCTCAGCATGCCCCACTTTAATAATGCATTGCTCCCAAGCAAGCAGCATCAAGTCGTCCCACATAGCAGTGCAGCGGTAACAATTTTTCACAAGCTTAAAGGGATATTACACTCTGGAATTAAAACATCTGTGAGTACAGCATGACCCAGAACACATAGTGTAAAAAAAAACAAAAAACAGGTCAGACCACTGCATTAGAGCAGCATTTTTTTGTGCACAGCAATGCAGATGCAGATGGGCAAAAATTAAATTAACAAATTACTTAATAGCTGTGCAAAAAAACCAAACTGACCACTGTTTGAAACATTCAAGTAATTTCACTGCAATCAAAAATCAAGGGATCTCTACAGACAGGTCTGGTTGTGGTTTGTAGTTTACGGATGTCAATAAATGTTACACACAAGAACTTCAAAGTATGCAGACTAGACTTGCATCTGTAATCATAACTATAATTGATGTTAAAGGTTTTGGAAATCAGTAAAACTGCTTTTTTTTTGTTTTACACAAAGAACGTAGTCATACTACATAGTTATACAGCTGTAACATGTAACATTTGAAATCACACCCATAACTTATACCACAATACAAACTAATTAGTTAAATATGTTTCTTTATCACTGCAGCCAAAAAAGAGGCAGTACAAATGAAGATTTCCAACTGAAGTTAATAACCTCACTGAAAGCCTTCTAATTTTGTTAGTATGCAGTGATAATATCGTTTGAGACCATGATGACATTTAATGTGCTATAATGGGCATATGTTTAAGTCTACCTATGATCTAAAGCTGTTTTGTTGTAAATTCACTGATATTTAATTTTTTTTTTTTTTTACCTTAGATGTTTCTCAGCAAAACGTGGGTGATGATATCCCTTTAAGTGGTTAAAATAACCCATCGTACTACTTTACAAACATTTTCACCATATATATATCAGGAATAGACTGCATATATATGTGTATATATGTATTTCTTGGGGTGGGGGACTTCTCACCTCCTCTCCCTCCCCTCCCACCTTCCAGTCGTCCTGCTCGAGCTCATTGTAGAGCGCTTCGCGGCTCGTCATCAGGTTTTGCCGCCGAATCTCACTTGTCCTCTGCTCCCACACAGACTTATTGATCTTAGTGTGGTTTTTCTGCTGCTCCTTGCTGTTGACAGATGTGGAGAAATTGAAGACAATCATCACCATAAACTAACCAAAGCAGCTTCAAATTACTCTTATACTTATGACGTTGAAAGTGGCAGCAGATTTTTGTTTGAGCTTTGTTTTAAAGTGTTCTATTAGTGTTTTTGCTGCAGAGAGCAGGTTTTAGACTGCCCGCCTCTCACTTTTCTACGCTTCACAAAGCATCAAATCTGTTCTTTTCTCTCCTTGAACAATTGCCTAATCATAATTTAAAGGACATTCTGCAGTTTGTCTGTGCACATTGTTGTGTGTGAATGCCTGTCAGTCACAAATGTTACAAAAAGACAGCTTTGTACGAAAAACAGTGCATGATTGTTTGTTTTTTCTGAATGTGTGTAGCATTGTATTAGCAAAAAAATAAAATTGACTTTCGCCTGTAGTGTATAAAACAGAAGCATACATTTTGTAAATCCATGTGCATTAGAAAGTATTATTTATGTGCAAATTTTGCAACAATACACAGGGTCTGTATATTTTCATTCATTTGTTCACATTTTTTTATGTTTGATTATAATAAAGTGTGTGTACTCACGCAGCAATAGATAAATTAGCAGCAGACAGTGGGCTGACCTCTGCTACTTCCTTAGCCTTCTGTAGTGCTGTCTTTTGATTAGCAGCCTCTTCCTGTTCTTCTTCATCCTGTCAAAGAAGATTGAGTTTTAATTTCAAGTCACTGCTTTGATTCATACAATACTATCTCAATAATATCTCCATATCTCTGTTGAACCACGTATCCCTACAACTATAAACAGTGATGCCTTCATGAGATTCTTTATAAAACTGTTTCAATTAGAGGGAAAATTCAAACCATCCTTCCGACTATTGCCTCTGATTCCCTGTCAGATGAGACAGCTTTAGAAATGTCACTAGAACCAGATTTATGTTTGGATTGTTTTGAGTCCTCGAGGCTCAATGAGAAGAATCATGTATAAATAAAGGTTGAATGTATATCCCTCATATAGAGAAATAATTAGTGAAGCTTGACAAGCTTGGCAAAAACAAACTGATTGATCCCGTACCTTGGTAAGCTCCTGGGCGTTGGCCAGATTGTCAACAGCAATGGCCAAGAAGACATTCAGCAGCGTGTCTTTGGTGATAGAAGTTATGGAAAATACTGACGGTTGTTAAAAAGAGAAAAAGCCACTTGGCTTCTCAGAAAGAGGTGCGCCATGAAAAAGATACAGAACAAGTCAAGCGACAAGTGAAAAAGCAAGGATGCAAATATAACTTGGTTAAAACAAAAAAATTGAAAAAAATATATAAAAATTCTGAAAATAATTTATACACTACAAACCAATCAACCAAACAACCAAAACAAACAAATTCAAACCAAGGCCCCTCCTTTAAAATGGATTTTGCTAGCTTCAAATCCAAATAACAAGAGAAAGCATGGGCACCTAATTTAAGGTCTATAAAATATGGAGTCATAAAAGCAAACAAAAATTTTTGAGCAAGGAACTTAAAAATGAGCAAATTAAGCAGCTCTAATAAATCTACTGTAATATTTTAGTTAAAAACGTTCAGTATTTTCACATGCATGCATACTGTACATTGTGGGTATTTTTTATATGACAAAGTGAAGGCAGGATACAGTTACCAAAGAGTGTTAGAACAATGAAGAAGATAGAGAAGACCATCCCTTTGTCATTTACTCCTCCTTGGGACTCAATGCCATCATACATCACCATATTCCAGTCCTCTCCTGTCAGGATCTACAGAAAAAAAAGTGATACGATTATGTCTTAATACTTAACAAATAAATAAATAAATGTTTCAGAGAAAAGTCAGTATCACAGTGAAAAAGTTTATAGTGAGCTTTTTTATTAATCAAACGATCTTGAAAATATAACACATTATACGCTGTATAAACTAACCCATTAATTTAAGCTTCAAATAATTTTATCCAAATAAAATCATGATTGTGAAAAGTCTGGAAAGTGTTTAACACGTGATAAGCCTGATCTTTTGGCTACACTGCAAAATGTATTTTTCCTCACAATTTAATCCCAAAATTCACAAGATTAGAAAAAAAATAAAGTGATGTAAAATCCAAACTAAATTCTTGATTTGGTCAAAATGATTTTTACATGTATCAAAATTTACATATATGGCAAAAGTCATGCTGTGGGAAAACTGTAGTCTTATCTTGTTTTGAACTTTTAATTTTTAGTTTTTAGCTTCTGATCAAAATGGCCTCTAATCTCCTAAACAAGTGTGATGGAAAACATGGTGACCACAGCCAAAAAACAAAACAACCCAAAACATTTTTTTTAATTACTACAGACTTTATTGCTATATCATCAGGGAAAGCAAACAAATAAACAAACAAT